GGTTAGCTGAGCCTTGTGATGGCAACGAGACGAAAGCCGATATGTGGCCGGGTGTCAGCAGAAGCGTCAAGACAGCTGGGCTGGTGATGGGGGCTTGAACCTCGCGCACGAGCAGAAAGTGGCGCTGGTGTTGAGCTGGGAGGCAAAACAAACCGCTCGCGCCGAAGAGGGAGCAGGAACCGAGCAGAAGGGGAGACTCGCAAGTGCGCAGCAAAGGTCCCTTCGCTCTGGCGTGTGGTTGGAAAAGTGAAAGCACGCACCTCTTCTGTGAAACAGGCACAGGCACAGGCACAGGGCACAGGCATCGCAGTGCTTGGGTGGGAAAGGGGGGGGGGAGGGGAAGAAGAAGGAGAAAAAGGAGAAGCAGCAGGAGGTGCGCCATTTCTGGTTGTCACAGCGAGCGGGAGCATGCTTGCATGCGTTGCTGCACGCATGCACAAGGTCCGACTACTGGTGCTGCTGGTGCTGTTGCTGTTGCTGGTGCTGGTGCTGGTGTTGGTGCTGGTGCCGCGGTTGCACATCATGCACCCACACAACAAGCCCTTCTCGCTTGCTAGATAGCTGCTTCTTGACTACCGCAAGGTGACCTGACGTAATTGCGAGCGATCGAGAACCGGCTGGTGTGAGCATGACGTGATTGTGACTGCATAGCATGAGGCAGAGCAGTGGCATGGGCGCCATCGCAGGCCATTGTAGTGGACACAAATGACCACCGTCATCTTTGGTGCCGAGCCGCCGAAAATTACATCAAGATTTTTGCAATTCTTCAAGACACGAGACAGAGAAAGCAAGCAAGCCAAGGCAGACCAAACCACAGACATGCGCGTGTGTGCTGGGGAAGGATGCGAGAAGGAGGGCACGATGCGTTGCCCGACATGCATCAAGCTTCACATCGAGGAAGGCAGCTACTTCTGCGATCAGGTGCGCGCAGCGAAGGAACAAGGAAAGAGAGGAGGGGTAGGGTGAGGGGTGGGGAGAGGAGAACGGCACTCGCTGCAGGCAGCATGTGTGTGTGTGTGTGTTGCGTTGCCTCGTGCCATGTCACACGGTTGTAGTCATTGCCTGGGACCTTGATGGGAACGATCCTGAAAGCTTTGCTTGCACAGCTCACTATGTATTCCTTTCTGTGATATAACAGGTGTGTTTCAAGGCCAACTGGGCCAAGCACAAGGCCCTGCACAAGAAGGCAAAGCTTGAGGCTGCCAAGATCCAGCAGGAGAACAGCGCCACCGATCGTACGTTTCGTCGCGTGAATTTGAGTCGTTCGTCCCTGTTCATGCCATTGAACACGACACACACACACACACACACACACACACACACACACACACACACACACACACACACACACACACAAAATGGCTATGGGCCCGTGCTTTGTTTGCTCACGCCTTGTGCACATAACATGGACATGAACATCAACGAACCAACAGCAAAGGACCTGTCTGTGCAGTTGGACTGGCCAGGCTACAGGTTCTCAGGTCCACTGCGCCCTCACAAGCAATCACCTCGCCGTCTTGTGCCCAAACACATCCAACGCCCGGACTACGCCAACAACGATGAGGGTGAGGCGGGCGAGTGTTCCTGTGTTTGTGTCTTATGTATGTTGGGTTTGTTGTGTCTGTTGTGTGTGTGTGCGTGTATGTCTTGTGTCTGTTGTGTTTGTTCGTTTGTTGCTGTGCTGTGTATTCAAAGTGTTTGCATGTGCTATACGATATGACCGATAGTGCTGACTCGTTGGCTGCGTGGGCGTGTGCATTGTGCTGACTGGCGCAGGCTACCCGTTCTCCGAGGCCATGAACAAGTCCAAGCTGCGGTGCCTGAGCAAAGAGGAAATTGCAAAGATGAAGCACGTCTGCAAGGTGCGCTGCATGTTGTGTGTGTGTGTGTGTGCGTGTGTGTGTGTGTGTATGCGCGCAATCTTGTCGCACGAGCCATGAGCACTTCTCTCACACATCGCCACTCCCACGTATTGTGCTTACCATTCCCCCCACTCTCCTGCCGCGTACACTTGTGATGCCCTCCACATACCACCACCACGACCACCATGATCACGACGACCACCACCACGTGTTGGTCAGCTTGGGCGGGAGGTGCTGGATGCGTGCGGCGCCGCCATCCGGCCCGGCATCACCACCGACGAAATCGACCGCGTCTGCCACGAGGTCCCCTTGATATGTGTGTATGTGTGTGTATGTGTGTGTGTGTGTTTGTGTGTTTGTGTGTATGTGTGTATGTTTGTGTGTATATGTGTGTGTATGTGTGTGTGTGCGTTTTTGTGTGTTTGTGTGAATCACGTTGTTTATGTGCTTTTGATCTGTGCGTTGCTTGCAAGCCTTCACCGTTTTAAGCTCATGCACTGTATCTCGTCTCGGTTTTGCACCGTGCTTGCAGGCATCGATTGAGCGGGACTGCTACCCGTCCCCACTCAACTACTTTCAGTTTCCAAAGTCTTGCTGCACGTGAGTGTTCTCCCTTTTCACATGGATGAATGGATGGATGGATGGATGGTGGCGTGTTCGTGGCTGCTGCTGCTGTCCACGCTCACGTTGCGGTGTGACGTACACTCACTTTGCTCTGTCACTCCATCATTCTCTCGTGTGCGTTTGAGTCTTCAGGTCGGTGAACGAGGTGATCTGTCACGGCATCCCTGATGGCTACGTCCTGCAGGATGGTGACATTGTCAACGGTGCGCACAACCGCGTGGTGTTGTGCTGTGTTGTAGTGTTTGTGCTGTGTTTGTGTGGGGTGTGATTCACACATTTGAAGCACGACGTGCCCACATTTCCTGCCTCCTGGTCCTCATCTCAATCCCCTTCACACATACACACACACACCGCGTGCTGCTGCGTGTTGTGCAGTTGACATCTCTGTGTTCCACAAGGGCTACCACGCTGATTTGAACGAGACGTTCCTGGTTGGCGAGGTCGATGAGAAGACCCTCCACCTCGTCAAGACCACCTACGAGTGCTTGGACATGGCCATCAAGTCTTGTGCGTTTCTTTTGTGTGTGTGCGTGTGTGTCTGTGTTTGTTCCGTTTGTTTGTTTGTTTGTCTGTTTGTTTGTTTGTTTGTTTGTTTGTTTGTTTGTTTGTTTGTTTGTTTGTTTGTTTGTTTGTTTGTTTGTTTGTTTGTTTGTTTGTTTGTTTGTTTGTGCATGCTTTCAATGTGCACTCACAATCATGTTGTCTTTGCCCTCCCCCCCCCAATGGCCATTCATCAACCAGGCAAGCCGGGCATGCGTTACCGCGATCTCGGCAACATCATCAGCAAGGTGTGTGGGGCCGATACATTCGCTTGTTGGCGTGCTTGGTTTGTTGGTGTGATTGGTTTGTTTGTGAGGTTGCTCGCGCGTTGGTTACGTCCTCCCTTGTCACCCTCATGGTATGTTGACCGCTTTTGTGTGTGTGTGTGTGTGTGTGTGTGTGTGTGTGTGTGTGTGTGTGTGTGTGTGTGTGTGTGTGTGTGTGTGTGTG